GTAATTAGACTCTGGACCTGCAACATTCTAAACTCTCCAGAGTCTCCAGAGTGATAATCAGTTGGTGAGCCTTGCAGGAAATGCATCACATTTTTTGCATGTAGAGGCCACATATTATTTATTCCCAGGTCATTTTAGGAAGGCTCATTCCTAGAATCTGATGTAGATGAGGCTCAATTGTAGGCAAGATAGCAGTCGTCAGGAGAGAGGGATAGCTAGCTGGTAGAGCCAAGAAGAAAGAAACTCCTGGATCATATCAAAACTATTAGCCAGTTTGGCCGGGCGTGGTGACACACGCCTTTAATCCCAGCACTTGGGAGGCAGAGGCAGGCAGATCTCTGTGAGGTCAAGGCCAGCCTGGTCTACATGGTGAGTTCCAGGACAGCTGGGGCTACAGGGAGACCCTGTCTCAAAAAGACAAAAAAATTTTTTTTTTAAATTTTATGTGTATGAGTGTATTGCCTGCATCTATGTAAGTGCACCTATGTCGTGCAATGCCTGCAGAAGTCAGAAGAGGGTGTTGGATTCCCCTGGAACTCTGGAACTAGAGTTACAGATTGTTGTTAGCTGCTTTGTGGGTGCTGGGAACCAAACCTGGGTGTTCTGCAAGAGCAGTCAGTGCTTTTAACCACTGAGCTATCTCTTCAGCCCATTGTTTTTTACTTAAAAAAATTTTATGTGTATGGGTGTGCACCTGCTTGTCTGTATGTGCACCATCTGCATGCAGTAGCCCACTGAGGCCAGAAGAAGATGTTGGATTCCCTGGTACTGCAGTAACAGGCAGCTGTGAGCCACTTGGGTCCTCTGCAAGAGCAGCAAGTGCTCTTAACCACTGAGCAATCTCTCCAGCTCCAGGCGAATCATCCATTTTGAGGGTGTGGCCACTTGTAGTATGTCCCATGCTCCAGTGGATGGCCCCACGCTAATGCACATATGAGCAGCACTAACTGGACTTAATGGGTTATTCGAAAACAAACAGCAACAACAACAACAAAAACCCAGACATGATGTTGGGAGGGAGACATGTTGGGGAATATATGGGGGGGTTGGAGGGAGGAAATGGGGGTGTATATGATCATATTTTTTATAAATCTCATTGCTGATACCCTTCCAAAAAGATATCAGTCCATTTGTCCATTTCAGGAGCGTGCACTGAACATAAGTGAACAGTTTACTTGGGGCTTATGCATTTGTCCAAGGCCAGGCAGGCAATGGATAGCTGGTACTAGGGTTATACATTTAATAGACACGGTCCTGTGCTGATGTAGCAGGGTAACAATGAGCACCTCAGCGCACTGGGAACTGCAGCTATGGACACAGGGCACACTAGTGACTGAAGAGCACACACATTCCTATCAGAACAGGCCTTGCCCCTGTCACTGTTCTCAAGTAGAGATGGTGAGGTAGAAGTCTACAAAATGGTCACTATATGGGTCAGATATTCTTGCTTATTGCCCTCTTTGAAATGTCTCCTTCCATTGAAATCATTGCTACATTACACTGAGCCCCAAACTCAGCCCTGAATACACACATGCACACGCACACACACCACACACAGACACACGCTCTACTCAGGAGACCTTTCTTGTGTACTCTTGTGAGTCATTTCTTATTTTATTTTATTTTATTATGTGTATGAGTGTATTGCCTATAGGCATGTAAGTGCATCCGTGTCATGCAATGCTCAGAAGAGGGTGTCAGATTCACTGCAACTGGAGTTATGGAGTTGTTAGCTGCCCTGTGGGTATGGAAGAGCAATCAGTGCTCTTAACTGCTGACTCATCTCTTCAGTCCTTGTGAGTCATTTCTTAACAAGTCATTTCATTAAATATTTCTACTATTTAATGCTGAAAAATAATTTGTTTGAAGATTCATCTTAACATGGCCACATTGTTCATTTCTAACTGGAACTCTTAGCACTGACTGACCCGAAATGTATTTATGTTCAGAGGAAGAATACAAGGATTCAGAAGGTGTTTGTTTTAATTGAGATTGGGTTTGAAGCTTACTCATTTCTGCTCCAGCATTTCAACTTTCTAGGTCGCTTTAAGATCTACAGCTTGCTTTGGGTTCAATCATGTGCTACTCAGTGTTTGCTTCTGACTGGAGTCCTGGGACCCAATGATGGTTTTGCTCTCCATCTGGGCTCTTGGTTCTGTAGCTTAATTAGAATGAAGCTTTGGGGTCCCTTAACTGTGGTAAGGAGAAAAGCAGACTTGCAAAGTCTGAACTTTAACAGTAGAACAAAAGAACACCAGAAGGGGCCAGTAAAGCAGTGTTCCACGTTGGTTGGTGCTGTCCCTTGCTGGGTGTGTAGTTCTGCCTGGGCTGTTTCAATCTTAAAGTCCCAGCTGCCTCATCTACCAACTAGAGGCAACACAGCCAGGTTGACTTGCCCCTGAGCACATTGTCAGTTATAAAATAAAATGATGTATGTGAACTTGATCATGTTTAAACCTGTAAAAAGTGACTCCAGTGGACAGACAAGGGATGCTATTTTTACGAAATTGACTTTCCTCTTTTGTGCTCACCCTCAATGCCCCCCCCAATCCCTGCCACTTGCTGTACCCTCAAGGCAGGCGACCTGAAAGATGATGGATGTGATGTTCTTTCCAGCTGTCAAGGCTATAAAAACCCAAGCTGCTGAGGGGCACACACAAACTGCCACAGTCCTGCCACAGGCTGTAGGGCACAAGGGGCCACAGCCGCCTCCTCTCAATCCAGGGACGAACTTGAGCCTACCTTCTTGCCTTCTCCATATATAAGGGGAAACTTCAAGTCATCATCCTCAATGGTTTTGTATGCCCTGTAGAGGGATAAACAACATTTTAAAACAAGTTTGCACTCAATTAGTGACCCTCTGCCCTGACAATGGCTGCCAGGCACCTCATTTTCCTGGAACCCCATTCATTTATCACACTGTCTCTTTGTTTATACAGCCTCATTCTCCATTCTCCCTACAGAGTTGTATGCATGTGTGTGCTTGTGTGCACACACGCATGTATGCATGCATGTGTGTGTGTGTGTCTGTGTATTTCAGCAAGGTAGGAAATATTGTCTTTATATACTTATAGAGGGAGAAAATACTAATAATTACTGAGAAGGGGAGATGGATTTCTGTTTCTAGTGTCTTTCTTGTAATGAGGTGACCCGGCAACATTGGTGAGTTCTTCTCCATCTGCAGCTGTGATAAACAGCCATGGTCAGAGGTGGACAGAGTGTGAAGCTGCTCCAAGAGTCAGTTCTCACCTTCGGGGGCTGTTTACATCAAACACCTTCATATTGGGATGACGGGGGATGGATGACTTAGAGTCTGCCTGACCTCAGTACGAGAGTCAAGGTTGGCAGAAAATTCGGTTTCATGATAGCTTTCAGAGGCCATTCGCCACACAGGAAGAAATTCACTCCATGCTTCGTGGGTTCAGTTCAGACATGGTTGTCTAGGGGTTACTGTCAGCAAATGAAGCCATGTGTCCCAATTTTACCCATAAGCAAGTTAAAAAACAAAGTAGCTTTATTACTTGCCCAAAGTAGCTTTAACTTTCTTTTATTTTCCTCATCTGTAAAATGACACTAATACACAGGATACAGAGCTTAGCACAGAGCCTGCACTTACTAAGGGTCCGTGTGCTTGTGTGCACACACGCATGTATGCATGCATGTGTGTGTGTGTGTCTGTGTATTTCAGCAAGGTAGGAAATATTGTCTTTATATACTTATAGAGGGAGAAAATACTAATAATTACTGAGAAGGGGAGATGGATTTCTGTTTCTAGTGTCTTTCTTGTAATGAGGTGACCCGGCAACATTGGTGAGTTCTTCTCCATCTGCAGCTGTGATAAACAGCCATGGTCAGAGGTGGACAGAGTGTGAAGCTGCTCCAAGAGTCAGTTCTCACCTTCGGGGGCTGTTTACATCAAACACCTTCATATTGGGATGACGGGGGATGGATGACTTAGAGTCTGCCTGACCTCAGTACGAGAGTCAAGGTTGGCAGAAAATTCGGTTTCATGATAGCTTTCAGAGGCCATTCGCCACACAGGAAGAAATTCACTCCATGCTTCGTGGGTTCAGTTCAGACATGGTTGTCTAGGGGTTACTGTCAGCAAATGAAGCCATGTGTCCCAATTTTACCCATAAGCAAGTTAAAAAACAAAGTAGCTTTATTACTTGCCCAAAGTAGCTTTAACTTTCTTTTATTTTCCTCATCTGTAAAATGACACTAATACACAGGATACAGAGCTTAGCACAGAGCCTGCACTTACTAATTAGTGGCAGATATTACTAGTATTTAGTAGGCAATTCTTGGTGCAACACTTCCCCTTTCTGCAACGTGGGGGATATCACCACTTACTCACCATCCTGGAATGCATGTCTAAGGTCTGGACCTTAGGACCTCATTAGTCCAACAAGCCCAGAAAGTTATCAGGAAGATGAAACACAGCCGGGGCAGGTTAGGTGTTAAGTAGATGCTTTTTCTAAAATAAAGTCTCCCTAAAATTTCTTATTGTTATTTTATGTGCATGTGTGTGTTGTCTGCATGTATGTAAGTATACCAGGTGTGTGCGAGGCCTGTGAAGGCCAGAAGAGGGCTTCAAATCCCCTAGAGCTAGAGTTATGGACAGTTAGCCACCATGTGTGTGCTGGGAACCAAACCCATGTCCTCCATAAGAGCAGCAGGTCTCAACAGCTGTCCAGCCCTGAAAATTTATTAAAATAGCCACCTAGTTCTGCAAACACGTAGGTAACCGGGGAGTGAAGCTGAAATCAACATGGAGGTTCTTGATATATAAAAGAATGCAGCCCAAATAAAAAGCATGCAGGACAAACGGGAGGAGAATATGACGACACATGATGAAGATACCATGATGAAATCTATTGTACGCTAACTTAAAAATTAATCTGGAAGTTTACAAAGTGTGCAGTGTAAAGAGGAAACAAATAACACCCTGTTGTTTGAGGAACTATTTGGATGTCTCATTCATTCCCTGGTAGAGAAACAGTGAGGTTTTCCCACCAAATGCACGTGGGTTCAAGTTTGGTCCAGAGTAAGTTGATGTGTTTGTGCTCTGATCTCGGGACCCACATTAGTCAAACAAGGCCAAGGCTTGGGTCCTCATGTGCAGAGCTCAGGATGTACTCAACACAGGACATGCTTAGAGCTCAGGAAAGTCCGTTGCTGCTGCCCCTGGCAAGTGAGCCAGTAATCCTGGAATCAAATTTTAAAGAAAGGAACCATACTATTTCCCTCCCTTAAATCCATCAAATGAACACAAAGTGGAAATTAGCCACTTTGATGATGATTAATGTACTCACAAGTCACTTGGGGAACAAATAAAGCTATTATTAGAGTCCAGTCCCAGTTTGAGTTGGCTGCATATTGAATCACTGGTAAGGGCTTTAACTTCCCGAGGTTCAGGCAATATACTGGAGCAATTAAAACAGAATCTCTGGGGCTGAGGCTCAGGTATCAGGAATCTTTTAAAGCTTCACAGGTGACTCCAACATAAAGCCAAGGTGAAGACCTCTGTTACAGACCAAGCATCACTGAACTTACACTGGGAGTGAGTTAAAGCACCAAGCTCTTCAATCAGCTTCACCTTTGAGAGGGGAGACTGCATGGCTTCAAAGAGGGGAAGGAAATGGCTGGAGAAAGGCCTGAAACGAGGCTGAAGGGGATTGGAGATGCTGTGTGGGGTGAGAAGTCAATCCCAGACAGAGCTTAGAAGGCATGGTGGGGATCAGACACAGGGAAGGGCTAGCCTTGACATGCAGGCAAAAGAGTTTGGAACTATAAAGGGCAGAGGGCAGCAGACCTAGAATCAAGGCTATGGAAGGACTTGGAGCTCCCTAGAGATCTCAAGGATCTTAACTGGCTTGGAAAAGCAGTGAGAAAACTGTTCTAATTCCACTATAAGCCCAGGTCATCGAATCCTCTCAGGAGAGAGACCATCAGGAGCACGAAGTCCAGGCCACACAGCTCTGAAAGACAGACACTACTTATGGAGCTGTCACCCCAGGAACAAGGCAACTGCAGATTTAATACTATATTTTGACTCTGTCATTTATCTTTAGGGACAAAAAGTTAAAAAGAAATAAAAACTAGGGATGTAACTCAGTTGGTAGAGGGTTTGCCTAGCACACACAAAGCCCCAAGTTCGTTTCCTAGCACCACATAAGATGGTGTGGTGAAGCAGATCTGTAAGCCAAGCACTACGGAAGTCCAGGTAGGAGGACCAGAAGTTCAAGGTTATCCTTGGGTATACAGTGAGTTCACAGCCAGACTGGGCTACATGTAACCCTGTCTCAAAATAAATAAATAAAATAGAAATGATAACTTTGGAAAAGGCAAGTCTCAACTGTTCCTGTTGGTTTTGATTTTCAATAAAACATGAACCCTTTCTCGTCCTTCCCCAGCAACAAACAAGGACAATTGTTGCATGTTGAGAATATGCAATACCCTCTTCCATTCTTTCTGCGTCACAACCACAGTTCATTGTATAAGAAGTGGACATCCATGTACAGTTAGGAGGTCTTGAGAGATAACACATAAAATACGTGGAAGTGGGAGTGTTGCTCATTGGGAACTAGTGCTTCACATGAGTAAGCCTTGGGTTTGATCCTCAGTAGCAAAATACCAAACATACAAACAAAAATCCCTCAAGAATGAAAACTGGCAGCCAAATGGGAGTCTATATAAATTAACGAGAGCTAGAAATAGTTCCACAGATATGACTTATTGGGCCAGGTACTGGACTTGGTAGTTACTGATAGTATTTAAAATCTCAAAGTCTTTGTGATGTCCTATCTTACAGATGAAGAGACAGAAGCTCAGAGAGGATAAATGACTTTCCCAAGACCACACACTAAGTAAATGGCTCTAAAACAGAAAGACTCCAAACCTGTGTGCCATCAAGGCTAATCTTTGGTGATATCTTCCTGTAGCCAAAGAGCCTGAAATGAGACCGCTATCATCCCCTTCTCAGTGGGCTGCCAGCAAATATTTGATGAAGAAAAGAGGACTTTTGGCACATGAGGATGGAGAATGTTCTGAGTGGCAAAAGAACAAACTCACTGGTGGCCAGGCAACAGAGTCTGCAGGGAAGAAGGGAGGGAGAGAGCGGAAATGACTGTCCAGCTTATCGGACCTGTGTCTGCCTCCCTGTCCACTTCACCTGTGGCCACAAAGGCAGCTGATCCCTGTCCTACAGAGGACAGACCTTCCTGAAACCTGCTGAGCAGTCCCTGCCCACTGGCACCGCAGGGCTACAGGACTGGATTCCTGCCCCTAATTCCTCCTTGGCTTCCCTTTTCTGCACCTGGGGAAGAGGAGAGGAGAGAGGAGGAGTGTGGAGCTTGAGAGCGCCAAGACACAGAGGTTGTTTGGATCTGACATTATTAACCAAGAATGCATGGTCAGGGCTGGAGAGATGGCTCAGCAGTCAAGGGCACTGGTTGTCCTTGCAGAGGATCCAGGTTCAGATCCCAGCACCCACATGGCAGCTAACAACCATCCCTAACTCCAATTCCAGGGAATCCTATGCCCTCTTTTGGCCTCTGAGGACACTGTATGACACTGGTGCACTTACATACATGCAGGCATAATATTCATATGCATACACATTTTTAAAGTAAATTAAAAAAATTCTCAGAGCCAGATCACTCTCTGGCTTTCCAATAATATAACTGATCAGGGATTATAGTCAAGTAATTATTTATTTGGTATAAGATAGAAAAACTGAAGGACCTAGGAAAGATTTTTAGAACACTCTTATTTTGGGTCAACTCCTTTGTGAATATTTATAAG